GAAGTACAAGGAGAACCCAGAAAAGTCATGGCACCAAAGAAGTCAGAGAGGAAGAGAGTTTCAAGACTGTGGTCAGTGCAAATACTAGGAAAAGCCAAGTGAGATAAAGACTAAAAATTAACCACTGAGACACCCTATGTTCATGAATCAGACTTAATATTGTGAAGACGGCCATATTCCCCTAATCGATCTACAGATTCAACATAATATGCTAATGGGTACAAGGTTTCTTTGGGGGATACTGAAAATACTTTTAAATTGATTATAGTGATGGTTGTCCAACTGTGAATCTATTAAAAAGTATTGGATGGTACACTTTAAAAGAGAGAATTGTATGGGATATGAATAATACCTTTAAAAGGCTGTTATGTAAAAATAAATATATAAGGAACCTCTGGATTTGCTAATTGGGTAGTTATTAGTGACCCCAATGAGAGCAGTTTCAATAGTGGCAGGAGTTGAAGCCAGATTGGAAAGGGTCAAGGGATGAAGGGGAGATGAGGAAGTGGGCAACAAACGTCACCTGCCCTTTCAAGGAGCTGTGACAAAAGGAGATAGGGAAGTACTAGAACGGGGGAAGGTTTAAAAGGACTGTGATTCTTTTCTGTAAAAGAGAAAGAATCCAGTAGAGAGAAAGAAATTGAAGCTACTAGATCAGAGCAGCTGTGGGGCAGGGGGGCAGTGACAGTTGTAAAGCATTGGAACCCGAAGAAACTTGAGTTTCAAACACTGGAAGAGGGTCTCTCTTTTCTCTGATTTAAACCGGAAAAAAAAAAAATCTATCATTCTAAAATCTGTCTAGGTCTGGACTTTTCTTCCCTAAGATAACATGGTTGCTTTCTTCAAAAGTTTCCACCATTTACATTTTACCAACCAATTACTCCTTATTAGTCAGGATTCAGGTAAGGGAAAGGATCACATTGCAAGAGATATTATTAGTCCCCAAAGATTATAATTTAATATTTATTTAATCCTTATTCTTTAATCTCAAGAATTTGGCTTTAATATCAAAGAAGTAAAATGTCAGCATCTCTCAAAAATGTTAAGTTTTTAGCCATAAATAGGACGAATGCCATCTAAATGGAAGGATGTAAAACTGCAGTTATTTTCATATTGATAAATAAATTTTTTCCCCTAATATCTGAGCCTAGATAACCATTTTGGAACTCTGGACATTCATGGACCATTCCAATTTACCTATTCCCTAGAATTTAAATCTATCCTGTAGTGGGGCTTTTTACCTAAACTCAATTTCTGGGTTCGTTTGTTTCCACGGTTGAGTCTTCCTGCTCTTGATCGTTTTTCTGAATGCTTCAACTCAATCCCAGTTGAAAGCTCTTAATAGAAATCCCTCATAGTAACAAAGAGTTGGTGGTGGAAACTACATCAAAAGTGTAGTGCTGTGTTCTCTTTATTAATTTTCCTAGCTCTAGGCCATAAATTATATCCTGATGGGTGCTCTGATCCTGGGAAATACCATTCAGCAATGTAACAGAACAGTTATTACTTAGGAGACTGGTTCAGATGTGACACATTTGGGAAAGAAGAACTTCTACCCTCAGCAACTTTTCAGTGCAGGCAGCCTTCTTGCCATATCTCCTTTTCATCAGTTGGAAGCTCAATGATGTTAATTCTGGTTGAACAATTTGTATATGGATTGGATACCTTTTTAGCCATGGTGGAAGACAATTGTTAAGCCTCCTTCTGTAGAAATGTTGGCACAGAAGCCAGAAGTTATGCAGTCCAGAAATAATTTTGTTACAAAGATGTATGTAGCTCCCGATGCACAGTGTTATGTCATCGTTCTGTCCTTAGCCATCCTGACTCATTCTTTGCATTGGTGTTCACATTGAATTAACATAAACTCAAGACAAAAATCTCTCTCTCGCCTTAGGAATACTGACTCATTTATTTTTTGGTGTGTTCCTATTTCCTTATTATTCAATTTTACCTATACACATAACATTCATTTTAAATGACAGTAGCTTTATTTATAGGAGCAACACTGAGAGGCAATGTAACATAGTGGTTAAGAGTACATACTCAGGGGGGCCACATTGCCCCCATTTGATTCCCAGCTCTGCCACTTAAGGGCCTTATAACCTTAGGCAATTTACTTGACTTCTCTGTGCCTCATCTTTTCTCACAAGTAAAATGGGAATAACAGCACCTCATAGGACTGCAGTAGGAATTAAACGAATTAACCCAAATCAAGTGCTCGGAACAGTGCTGCATACATACAACGTCCTCACTAAATGCAAGCATTATTATTAGCTCTTATTTTAAATTAGCTAAGAAAATGATTCACACTAAAAAATTGGAATCTAAATATTGAATACAGTATTTATTAAGAAATTTGAGAATGCTTGCGGAAATTCTTGTGAGCTACACAAGCACTAGCATGTCCTGGAGAACCAGGGAAGGTTCAAGCCTAAAGTGCGGGAACAAGATGCTGGGTTCTAGTCGTGACTGTACCACCACCAGCTGTGCAACCCCAGGCCTTGCTTTCTTCATCTGTGCCATGAAGAGATTCTACAAATTCTCTGAAGTTACCTCCAGTCTCTAACAATCTATAATTCCTTGAATTCACAGGAAGCTAAGTAGTAGTATTATTTATACAAATCTGAACAGAAACAAGTATCTATAAGATAGTTCTCATGAAGTTAAAAAATGAGAAATAACGTGGAGAGATCCCAAGTCCAAAATATGAGTTCAAGCGGCCCTGGCCCTTTAACACATTTCCTTGTATGGACACGTTAATGAGATTCCACTAAATACTGGAGAGGAGAGCCTTCCTAGGATTTTACACGGCACCGTGTTGGGACCTGGCCTAACCTTCCTGGGGCTGCCCACAGGTGGGACTCCTGGCCCACGACTCCATTTCTAATCCTGATGTAACCATGTGATGTCGCATAGCTTCTCAGGAAAAAACAAAATTGGTGGTACATCATTTCAATTAAAATTTAAAATAATGATTCTAAGATTACTAGACTTCTGAAAAACTTGTTTCATCTGAGATGACTGAAATAAAAACTCATGAAAAATAACAGAATGATGTTGTTTTACATACTGATTTATTTTAAAAGCACAATATATAAGAATATGTAGAATGTCTCACAAAACATTTGATAAAAAACAATTTTAGGAGAAGTGAAGATGGCGGCGTAGGCAGACTCTGAACTCACCTCCTCCCGCAGACACAGCCAATTTACAACTACTCGTGGAAAAATTACCCCTGAGACAGAACTGAAAGCTGGATGAGAGGAACTCCTGCAACAACGGACAATCCTAACTGAGGTGGAAGAGGCAGAGACTCCCTTCTGGAGAGAAAAACGCCGCCTTCACAAGCCGCCAGCTTCACGGCCACCGGGAGCAGCTCACAGGTACGCAGCCTCCCTGGAGGCGCGGGGCCCTGAGCCGGGAGCGCCCCCGCTGTGGGCATTTTGTGGACCCAGCACAATCGAGACGAGTGGCATACTGTCTGACTTTGTCTGCTACTAAAACATTGGGGAGCACCCCAAGAAAAGCTGGTTCACAAAGAAATTAAAACCAGCTCTTAAAGGGCCCACGCACATTCAACCGTTTCAGAAAGCAACCTAAAATCACCAGAAAGAAAGGTGCACAGTACTGTGGTGAAAAGAGACTCACCTGATAGGCCCTGAGTGCATCTCGGTGAGAGGTGAGACCTCTCCAGGGACTGGGACATTGGCAGCGGCCATTGTTGTGGCCTGGTGTGAGCGTGCTGACACAGACGCCATTGGAGTTCTCCCTGAGCCTGCTAGCCCAGGTCTGCCCCACCCGCTAGAGCACCGATTTCATCCAGCTCAGCCAGGGCAGGCAGCCCACCCTAGAGACTGGCCCCACCCAACAACAAGCCCTCAGGCAACTTGTGGGCCTGCATAGATTGGTGACTGGATTCTCCGCAGCCTGGCAACTGAGCCCACTTCAGTGGGGCAGGGCGTGCACAAGGAGCGGGTGGAGAGTGTGGGGCGGTGCCCTGCACAAGGAGCGGGTGGAGAGCGTGGGGTGGTGGTGGAGTGTGTGGGGCTCCCGCCGTAGAGAGACTAGGTCCACTTCGGGAGGTCGGAGCGCACACACGGGGCAGGACTGTGTTGACTGTGTGTGTGGACCTGTCAGCTTGTCCACTGCAGGGCAGGGCTTGTCAGCTGCAGAAGACTTGTGCTTCTCAAAGACCCACATAGGGGGTTTGCCCCACCTTCCAAAGCCTGAAACAATTGGGTGCTCCTGTGCCTGAGGCCAGCCCCACCCAGCTGCAATCCTCAGAGAGCTGACAAGAGACCTAAAGGCTAGAGCTTATAGCAATTGTAAGGCCCTGAGCCTAACAACCTGCCACGCTGGGGGCCTACTCACTTGAAAGAAATACTGCAGCACAAATGTGGTATTAGAAATTGCAGCCAACTGTGCTGGGGCTCCCCACACCTGATAAAGAGACTGAAGGGCCCACAACAACTACAAGCAGCTGAGCATTACAACAGCTGGCCAGGAGCATAACTCGGCCTCCCTGGGCGCCTACAGGGAGAGCAAACAGACCAAAACAGAAGGGTGCCCGTAGCCCACATAGGGGTCACCCCTGGAACATTGAGAACTGAGGGAAACACACAACAGGCCTCCTAAGGCGTCACTTACATAAGGTCACCTATCCAAGAGCAGGAGACGTAGCTGACCTACCTAATACGTAGAAACAAGCACAGGGAAAGAGGCAAAGTGAGGAGGCAAAGGAATACATTCCAAGTACGGGAACAGGACAAAACCCCAGAAAAGGAACTAAGTGAAACAGAAATGAGCAACCTACCCGACAGAGAGTTCAAACTAAGAGTGTTAAGGATGCTCACTGATCTGGGGAGAAGAACAGATGAACTCAGTGAGAATGTCAACAAAGAAATGGAAGATATAAAAAAGAACCAATCAGAAATGAAGAATACAATACTGGAAATGAAAAATTCACTAGAGGGACTCAAAAGCAGAGTAGAGGAAAAACAATTTTAAATACAATTTTTAAGCTCTAAATAAAGTCTCTACTTAGGAAAAATATATACACTTTTAACCACAAAAGTGCAGTTTTAAAGGCAGATGTCAGACCTCTTAAGTACATGATAGCTAACAGCCACCTTAAGGACATTAAAGCTGTGCATTTATAAATATTTGAGGAAATTCATGAAAATGTTTTGTAAATATTATAAGCAAACCTTTAGCATACAATGTGGGAGAAGGTTTCATGATCTACTTACAAACGCTTAAATCTTGTATTTTATAATATTATCTTACAAAATTACTATTATTATCAAGAATTCATTATACATTCTGGTTTAAATTCTCTTATGTCATCTTCACTAATATCAAGCACAGGTTTGTATTACATATATATATATACATATATATACACACACTACTTTTTCCTTCATATAATGTCCCCGCATTAGAATATATTTGGTCCAAGGAACATTCAGAGCATGGCAAAATGCTGCTTTAACTGTTTAATTAAATGTTGGGTATCCACATGATCTGGAAATGCTGCTTCAGACTTCTGAGCAGCAACATAGCTTCTCTGTAGATCCCCAATCTGTAAGAAACACCAGCAAAAGACCACAGAATGAGACCAGAAAAAATAAGTAAGAAAGTAAAAAAAAGACATACTATTTGCATATTGTAGAAATGCAAATGGTTCTTAAAGGTAAATTGCTTGATTATGCTACTTTGATTTTAGAATTCTTTCACCCAGATTATAATTCAATCTTGAAAAAATATATGAGAAAAATAAAATAACCAATTCTACAAATAATTTCTGTTCCATGATAGCTGTCTAGTTATGAATTCATAAACCTATGTTTTCTTTTCCTGTCATGGATAGTTTTATAAAAATACAATGACATTTGCATGTTAAAACAGCCAGCTCTATGTAGCTCAGGAAAACTATTTGTAACGTACCACAGACAAAGACATATTTTGATTAGGGTATTACCTGTTAGACAGAAAATTCAAGCAAAAACTATTGTATTTAAGATAATAACATGCTCTGGGAGGTTTTACACGGTGCTAGCACAGTAATCTGGTTTTAGAAGTTTATAAAAGGTCTCTCTGATTTTCAATAAACTTTGTGTTAAAGTCCAGTCCCAAAGAAAAACACACATAGTATCTGAATCCATCTGAATATATCTTGATTCATGGATACATTTCTAAATAGAGAGCGCTTTTTAGTGTGTGCACAGAAAAAAATCTAGGTAATTCAATTCTGGTATTTTTTTGTAACACATATATATATATGTGTTATATTTTTTGTAACACATATATATATATACTACAAACATAAGTTTCCTTTTTTAAATCATAGCATTTCTTTTTAACATACTATTTTCTCTTATGAAAGTGTAGCCTTTTGTTTAAAGAAATATCTCATTTGAGTTATATAGTAATAAAATGTGATAATATTCCTGAAGGAAAGTAACTGAGCCTTCTTTGTGGTTTAACTGAGTGGCAGCACAGTGCAGTGGAAAACATGTGGGCATCATGGGGAGCTGGGTGTGAATTCTGAACCCGCCCCTACCATGTGACCTTGGGAAGGTTTTTAACCTCTACAAGCCTTGGGTTCCATCAGAATGTAAGCTGCATGAGGCAGAGGTTGTTGTCTGTTTACGTTGCTAACATCCTCTGTGCCTACAACAGTGCCTGCTGTACAGCAGAGTCTCAACAAACAAAACATCAGTTGTATGAAAAAATGGGCGAGGAAGGTAAGGGATACCTACATTGCAGGGTTGTTGGGAGAATTAAAGAAGGTGTGCGGAGCAGCTGGAACACTTAACAAGTGATCAAAAGTTACAACTTATGAATGACAGCTTATTTTCAAAACAGAAATGAGTGCGGATGGCTTCATGTGCATGCTATGAAAAATGACGTATTTTTGTAATGTCTTTTGGTCTACAAAGACTCTCACATGAGCAAACATTTTTAGCCATTTCCGTATCCTCAAAACTCACCCTCCATGTTAAAGGAAGCTTTCCAAATATAAAGTTAGCCATTAGATGCCTTTTGTTTATTTTCTTATTATTATTAAAAATGGCACATGACTCCTTTTAGCTTTTGGCTAGCAGCTGACTTGCAACACAGTATCAACAGTTGCATTTTTCCCATATTATTCACAGTTAAAATAGATTTCACTAATATCCCTAATTTTACAGCAATCATGCCCGAGACTTCATGGCAATATGATCTACAAATAATATACAGGATTTCTTTGCTGTAAAAGCCAATTACTAAATCCTTCCCAAACCAAGAGTTACTTAATGAGTATTTTTCAATGACTAAATGTCATATTTTAAAACATAAAATAATTCTTCTGCAATCTATAATGGTGTTAAGTTTAGTCAATATCCAGTGACAAATTTCTTTAAAGTTTATTAAACAGTCCCTTGAAGTAAAGACATGTATATACCAAAATTAAATGTTTATAAAATCATACATTCCAGAAAGCTAGAATTTCCTTGATTAGCTGTACTTTTTTTTAACCAAGAAAGAAAATAAAACAGACCAGATGATAAATTAATAAAGAAAGAGAATACCTTATCAGAGACTACTGCAAAATTAAAATGCGGCTCGTACATATGGGGGGCTAAAGATGACGCAGTTTGTAACAGTGCCCTTGCCTGTGTAAAAAAAAAAAGAAAGAAAAGAAAAACCAAAGATATATGAGCATATATCAACAGTATATTTGTGATTTTTTTTTTTTTTTTTTGGGTAAAAGAATCCTTTACCCAGGACAGGACCTTAATAAACATGATCCTGTGATAAACATAGATGACATTCCTCATGAAATACAATGTACTACTATATAATTAACTATTTATATCTTGCCAAAATTATATTAATAGTAAAATGCTACAAAATATGGAGAAAATAAAAGAATTGAGAACTTAGAAAAGATTTAAAGTTATTTGAGAACCACTGTTCTTGTGAAGTTTATTTTTCAATATGACATAGGACTCAAAATACAATCCTCTCAACGCTAAAAAAAAGTCTTATTAATCTAGTTTTTGTTGCTGTTGATTGATTTAGTAGGCTTCTAGTTACCTGTTCTCTAACGCAACAACAACCAAAACACCATAGTGAATTTCAAAGCCCCAGCTCCAGGGTCTGTGCTGGATGATAGTGAGCAAGCATTTATTATACTGCTGACCTGAAAATGACAACTGAATGCAACTGAAAATGACAAGCTTTCCGTTCTCTAAACTACTCAAAAAGCAAAATTCACATCATTTTTTGTGCCCTACAGGCTCAAAGGATCATACATTACAGAGACCACCGAGTGACAAGAGATGCTCACACATTCATCGTTAAGCTCACAAACTCAGCATTCCAAGCAGCTGAACAACCTCTAACTTGCAGCTAAACCCAAAACCTCTATCCACGACCCTGAGGACAAATTCGTATATCTTTTCTTTTAATGGAAAATAAAATAACAGTTCATATAGGATGTTGGATGTTAATTTTTAATAAAATGGGGTTAGTATCATGAAACCTTTCACCAAAACATTTCAAAGCAAGTGTATACCAGAGAAAGTACAATAAGTAGGAGGGAAAGAAAATCAAATAGCACTAATAGAGAAAATCACAAAAAGCACTTGCTTCAGATGCACATATGCAAAGTTCCATGACAGAACAAGTTCCCATTTAGAGTAGGTACTTTCTGTTTACAAAACACAAATACTTCTTATTGGCTGTGGGGGAATTTATGAAATAAAAGCCAAATCCAATGATGTTTCTTTCCTTCTTTTGTTAAAACTTTGTCAATGTGCTTAAGACACCAGGTTGGAGGTTAACATCCTGGCATGCTGCTCATTATGTCTGTGACTGTGAGTAAAGTTACTTCCCTTCCTCAAGTCTGTTTCTTCATCTCTAAAGTGGAGAATGTAATAATATCTACCCTTGATTGCCATTAATATTGTATGGGTGTAGTTAGCATTTTAAACATTTTTTTATGTGCGTAATAATAATAATACAAGTTATTAAGCATCCACCCTGTGCTCAATACTGTGCCAAGTGCTTTACATGCATGATCTGCTAATCTTCACAAAAACACCCTCAGGTACTGTTACTACCCTATTTTATTTATCATCCACTCATTTCACAAATATTGACTGAGCACTGACCATGTGCCAGGCACTGCTATTGATGCTGAAAATATAGCAGTTAGAAGACAGAGAAGGTCCCTTCTTTCACACAGCTAGCATTCTACATTCTACATATAAATATGAAAATATCTGATAAAATGATAAGTACTGTGAAGAAAAAAGCAGTAGGAGATGTGATAGTGCCTGAGGGTTTCTTTAGACTGATGTTTGAGATGGCCTTTATAAGGAGGTGGCAATTAAGCTGAGACCTGAATGATAACAAGAAAAAAGTCACTGCAGGATCAAAGAAGACTGTTCCAAAGGCCCTACAGTAAGAATGAGCACTGCACATCTGCAGAAAAGTGAGGCAGCTAATGTGTCCGGACATCAGGCATTGGTAGGAAAGAAGCAGTGGCAAAAGATGGGTCCGAGAGGGAGCCAGAGGCCAGGTTACGTGGGGCCTTGTAGACCAAGGTTTGAAGTCCAGATTTTATGCCAAATACAAGGAGAAGCCACTGGAGGATACTACGCAACGCAATAATAAAAGAATCTTGTTTTTTAAAAAAATCCCTTAGGCTGTTCTGAGGAGGATGCACTTACTCACTGATGTAAGGTGCACTTACTCACTGATGTAAGTGGAAACAAAAAGACCAGCTAGGAGACTCTTGTAGTAGCCCAGGCAGGAGATGAGAGCAGTGTGGAGACGGGTGGTAGGAGCCGAGAAAAGCGGCTAGGTGCAGGATGCAGCCTGGAGGTAGAACTGACAGGGATTGCCGAGCATGACGGGGGCGTAGGGTGGCAGGGAGAAGCAGTAGGAAAAGAGAGGTTTCGAGGGTGGCTCCTAAGATTTTGGCTTGAGCAGCTGGATGGTGGATGGGGGACTGTGAATGGTGGAACAGCTCACTAAGACGGGGAAGACTGGGGAGGTGCAAAAATCAAGTGCTCTATTTTGGATACAGAAAGGTTAAGTAACTTGTCCAAGGTCACATCACTAAAAGGCATCTGAGCTGGGATTCAAACAGAGGCCTGTCAGACTGTTGAGCTCATTTTAAAATACATAACATAGCCACATGTGACTTTTCTTTGAAGAAAGCAGGTAGCCCACTGTGCCACTGGTAGTTCACAGACCTGTTCAACATGGCCCTTCTGCATCTCCAGCACAGCCAGGTTGTTGTAGGCCTCGGCATGGTTATTGTTGTTGACCAGAGCCAGCCTGAAGCACTGATGGGCCAAATTTGTATCTCCTATTCCCTACAAAAGAAAAGCACATGTTTGCACACACAAATCCATATGCTTCCTCCTGCCACCTCCTCCCTTCTTTCCTCATATAAATCTTTTCTGATACCATAGAAAAAGCAACAAGTACTGATCAGAATAGTCAAGTATGAAGTGTGATAAATAAATGACAAGCAATAGGATATATTAGAGTATATGAGGAAGCCATTTGGTGTAAAACTAATTTGGCCTGACCCTGTTTTTCCAAAAGGGCCTGACTTGGCCTTTGAGCATGCATTGTATATCTGCTTTAAGCATTTACTATGTCCCAAAGACAAGAACAATGCCCTTAAAAATAAGGATGTAACTTCCCCCACATCAGCATCTCTCCCTAGGCTAGGGATTGATCGCTGACCTGCTGTGACCACCCGGCTAGAGACCACAGACCTGCTACCTGCTATGTTCATCAATTGCTGAGTGAAATCCTGTGCCAGCAAAGCAATCTCGCGACTATTGTAAAAGGGATATTCCAATCATATGTGATACATGCTCTTTGACAGTTACAACCACTCTGTACACCCCACTTCTTTGGTGCCTTTCCTTCTGTGGGGAAGAAAGGCCCCAGGCCAGTCCTCAGATCTGGCTCATAATAAACTCACCCCAATTTTGATTTATAGATTGGTTACAGATTATTTGTGCCAACAATTATATGTAAGAGGATTTAACCTGGGAATATAAAATAAGCTATGACTCCTAGAAATCTCTAAATTGCTCCATAAGACCATAACCAAACCTGAATTTACAATACCTGAAAATTTCCTCAAACTAACTTGTGGCTACCTTTCCTGTAACAGAAGTGATATTAGAGAAGTAACGTACCACAGCTACGTGTCCCAAGTTGTACCAGACATCAGCGGCCTCTTCTTCATTCTCAGTCAGAGACAGGGCACGTTCAAACGAGGTCAGAGTCATATCATACTGCTGGGCATAGAAGCAACAGAGCCCCAGATTGTTAAAAAGCTGGCAGTTATAAACACCCATCTGCAGAAGGCGCCTTTTAGAAAAAGAGCACACAAATTTTGGTGTCAGACCAATTTTATAAATATTAAGACATATATTTTTATAAAGGTAGAAATGAATTCATTCTATAATTTTTAATACCTCCAAAGAATATAAATAGAAAGTCTTACAGTAAATGAAAAAAATTTTAAAGCAAATACAAAAGCATGTCTTTTTTAATGGTACTAGTCATGGGAAATGTGTCCAGAGGCATGGTTGGAAACAACTTACATAAGTTTTTTCCCCAAAAGCTTTGTTATGGAACCAAAATAAGAAATAAATAATCACATAAAGTAAAACCCACACATTTTTTGCTTCATAAAGCTTTGGTGCCCATAGGTAAGCTCCTAACGCCTTCTAATCTAATTTGAAGACTGTGTTTAGCATATATCTCCAAGTTTTCAGCTGAATTGGATCTTGGTTTGGGTTACCTGTATTTTGCAGTTTAGCTGCGTCTACTGACCTCCAATGAGCTTCCACCCAGGAAGACAAGACCATCAGTAGATCCCTATGTCATCCACTTAGCTTCCACGCTACAGCTCAAGAACCCCATTGTGCTTCTATGCATCATTAATCCCAAAGAGAAAGGGACAAGAGAGTTCAAATGAGCAAATGAAAATCCACCTCAGCTGCCCTGAGGAACCCATGACGCACTCTGGGGGTTGGGGAGTAGAGTCAGCTGCATGTGCACAAGACAGCATTCATATTATTACATCTCATGCTTCTAACATATATTGGGAAAGAACTCTTGTCAGCTGCCAGTTATCTCCTTGTATATTACCTAAGGGCTGAAGAGGATATCATTATTTAAAAATTAATTTCAGAAACCATCTATAGGATAAAATAAGTATGTGCTCAAAAGAGAACCAGTGAACAGAATTTATTTAGATTTTTAAAAAATATTTGGACAAGAGTTGACAGTATTTCATGAAATGGGGATTGTTCCAGGTCCTCATCAGGACTCAGAACCTGGGGCCTACAGCTCTTTGCAAATCGTGTCACTATTTCAGCTTCAGGGTCTTTATATTATGTATAGTGGTATTAATGGGGGCAGTGATGGCGAGATGTGCTTCCAGTAACTATTAAACTGTTATTGGTTGACGACAAAATCGCTAATTCATACAATGACATGGTGTTAAAAACTCAAGCAATATCCAGGTGTGTTTCTTCAAGTTGCCAAATATCTGTGAGTTTCTAAATTATTAGATGTCACTTTAATGCTCATAAAACATCTGGGTGTTTAAATTTTTAGTCTCATATAGACTTGGCCTATACATCATTTCTCTACATTTTCATTCCATCTTTATTATTGTTCCACCAACATTTCACAGGAATGTAGTTCTACAAATTGAATGGAAAGCACACCTGTAAAACCGGAGAGCTATTTCTGGCTGATCAGAATAAAAGTGGTTGCTTCCAATGCATGCAATGGCTTCCACGTGAGTATTGTCCTGTTTCAAAACTTCTTTGTAGTAATCGGATGCTGATGAAATATTGTTCATTTCCTATTCCCCATCAAGACATAAGAGCAATACTTTATTAATATTGGACAAGACATTTTTTTTTCTGACTGGTTTATATTCTTTCATTCAATAAATATTTATTAAGAGCCTGCCATGTGCCAGACCCTGTTCTAGGCCCTGGGGACACAATATGAACAAAAAGATCAAGTTACTATCTAAAAGGAGGTTACCTCTGGTGAGGAAGACAAATGAACAATGTACTGTCAGGCAAGGACAAGTGATGTAAAGAAAACAGAGCAGGGTAAGGAGCCAGGGAGGCAGCGGGGGAGGGCGCCACTTCAGAAAGGGTTGCAGAGGAAGCACTTCAGCACTTCGGAGGAGGTGCTATGTGAACAGAGGCCTGAGTGAAGTGAGGGATGGAGACCTGAGCACATCTGGGGGAGGCACAATCCGGGCAGAGGGCACAGCAACTGTAGAGCCTGAAGTGGGAACACACTAGTATGAAGAACCACACAAAGGCAAGTGAGGCTGCGAAGAGGGCGAGTAGCACAAAACGAGTCAGAGAGGCAGCCAGGAGCTTTGTCTGCCATGGTAGGAACTTCAGGGTTTTCTCAACACTGAAGGAAAGCCATTAGCGAGTTAAGAGCAGAGGAGTAACATGATTATATTTACTTTTTTAAAGAATAACTTGGTGGTACACACAGCATACACCAAAGTGGGGAAGAATGACAGCCAGGAGACGGGGAGTCTCCCTGATAATCATAAACAAACGCAGTTAATGTTATTAATGAACGTTATATCTCTCAAAGCCACCTTCAAGGCCAGTTCAGGCCCCACACTCTTCATGGGGATTTCCTTCACGCCCTCACTTCACACAGCTCTTTTCTGCCTCTCAAATCACATGACACATTGTGTGAACCACTCACTTGTTCTCATCATGTGAGGACTCATATGTTTTGATTTTTTTTTTTTTTTTTTAAAGATTTTATTTATTTTTCCCCCAAAGCCCCAGTACATAGTTGTCTGCCATAGCTGCACATCCTTCTAGTTGCTGTATGTGGGACGCGGCCTCAGCATGGCCGGAGGAGCGGCACCTCGGTGTGCACCCGGGATCCGAACCCGGGCCGCCGGCAGCGGAGAGCACGCACTCAACCGCTAAGCCACGGGGCCGGCCCTTGATTTTAATCATAACATATTTTATCAAATCTAAGAGAGTCCACTGAAGGTAAGAAGCGCCACACAATGCTTTCTTATCACATAGAATTTTTTTTACCTCCATAGACTTCAGTTTTGTTTTTTTAATTTAAGGACTTTATTTTTTTAGAGCAGTTTTAGGTTCACAGCCAAATTGAGGGGATCGTACACAGATAAATGCACTTCATTATTCAGTATCAAAAATTCACATCCATTAATATTATCACCAATCTCATCAATATTAGTATTATAAAACTAGTTTTGACCTTGTGGACCCCTTGAAAGGGTCTCAGGGACCCCCAGGAATCCCTGGACCACACTTTGAGAAATGTTGATATTAAAATGATATTTGGGGCCTTTCTTCCCTCTCCTACTCACTCATTCCCATGAGATAAACCGAGCATGCTTGTCTCTGCCCCTCCTGGGTCTGTTAGGAAGCCAACTTGGCCTACAACTTGCCCATAGTCTCTGCCCTGCAGTGTGGAGCAGGCTCTCCTGGGTGGAGAAGGTCTGCAAGTTGCACAGTCATGTCTGTGACAGGGTGGATTGGTCTGTCTAACTCAGAGGCAGAACACCATTAAGTCCTATTGGTCATAGATCTAAAATCACATGCTCCGACTCTGCTTTTATCAGTAACAAAGTTAATGGGTTATCCTCCATTTTGTTTGAATCCTGTATCCATCTCTCAGCTGGTTCTCAACTTGGAGTGAGGAACAGGGGTGTTATTTATTAGTCCCATAAAACCGCAATAAAACATTCACAGGTTGATCCAAACTCATCCTTTATATATATTTTTCACATGCTTTATTTTTGAAATTCTTATTCAAAGTCCTGCCAGGATTTAGTTCCTTAAGAGAAGAGGCTTTTTCATTCATTGCTTATAGCTGCAAAATAATTTTTTTTTCAAAACACAGAGCTGTTGATACATTTGTTAATTAATTGTGAGTTCATTTTCTCCTGAATTTTACACTGCTGTTATGTGCAACTATTCCAAATATTCCTTCATATTTTAAGAATATAAGAACCCATTGAAAAGTATGAAAAATAAAGAATTTTAATAAAAGTGCATTTTCTATTTTTTGGTAAAACTAAAGCCTCGTAAAACTTAAAAGGAAAGAACAAATGAGCATCTTAACTCACCTCCCTGCAACCCCCACTCCCACACATACACCCAAATCCTTCCCTGCTACAGACTGAATGTTTGTGTCCCCCCAAAATTCATATTGAAGCCCTAATCCCCAATGGGATATTATTTGGAGGTGGAGCCTTTGGGAGGTAATTAGGTCATGAGGGTGAGGCCCTCATGAATGGGATTAGTGCCCTTTAAAGAAGAGGCACCAGAGGAATGATCTCTCTGTCCACCATGTGAGGATACAGCGAAAAAGGTGTCCATTTACAGACCAGGAAGAGGGCCCTCACTAGGAACCAAATTGGCCAGCACCTCGGTCTTGGACTTCCTAGCCTCCAGAACTATGAAAAATAAATTTCTATTGTTTAAATCACCTAGTTTATGGTATTTTGTTATAGTAGCCTGAGCAGACTAAGATATTCTCCTTCCAAAGAATAATCTCCACACCTAGGCAGCAACCTGACCAGTGAGCCTTAATGGCTCCATGAAGCATGGGGCCCCATGTGCATGACTTTTCTGGTTTCCAGGGCAACAGCATCCCACAGTGCAAGGCTTCAGTGTTACAGCTGCCAAAATTGGCGTATTAGTCTGCTTGGGTTGCCATAACAAAATACCATAGACTAGGTGGCTTAAACAATAAAAATTTATCTTCTCACAGGTCTGGAGGCCAGAGGTCCAAGATCAAGGTGCCAGCACAGTTGGGTTCTAGTGAGGACTCTCTTCCTGGCTGGCAGAGGGCCACCTTCTCACTGAGTCCTCATATGGCAGAGAGAGAGAGAGAGAGAAAGAGAGAAAGGTCTCTGATGTCTCTTCTCTTAAGGGCACTAATCCCATCATGAGGGCCCCACCCTCATGAGCTCATCTGAACCTAATTATCTCCCAAAAGCCCCATCTCTAAATACTACCACACTGGGGGCTTAGGACTTGAACATACAAATTTGGGAGGAACACAATTCAGTCCGTAGCAGGTAGTAATGCCCAATGCAAAGAAGACTCCAGCCTGAATAGCTAGTTGTTTCAAGGCTTTCAGTTCTATAAAATTACCTTAGAATGTCTGTATACTTGATTGATGGGCACAGAATTAATTTATGTAATCTTGAGGAATTTTAGACTGAAACTAACTTATGTTTTTGGCAACCTCATATGCAGTTTTTCAAACTTGTTATTGTAAAATATGTGCTTATGCTAAATAAATTTAAACACTGCAAAAGGGTATAAAACGAAAATCTCCCAAACCCCACCCCTCCCCAAATCCCACACAGCAGAGGCTCTGTTAATATCTTCTTGAGTATTCGTCAAGAAACTTTGTTCATATATACGCACACATACATGTATGCATGTTTTAACCACAAACAGAATCATTCTACACATTCTGATATACAGTTTATTGTTTGTACTCTCCGTGTCTTGACTCTCTGTCCATATCAATACAAAGAGCTCTATTCTGTTACTTTTTTACTTCTGCATAGTCTTCCATCAATACACAGACTATAATTTATTTAACCAGCCCCTTGTTGATGAAGCATTAGTTTGTTTCCATTTTTTTACCATAAAAAAATACTATAAAACCCTCTTTGCACATATCTTTGTGTACTTGTATGAAAACAGCCTTCAGGAAAATTCCTAGAAGTAAAATTGCTGGGCCAAAGAGCACGCACATTTAAAAATCTCATCAGTAACTCAAAACAGTCTCCAAATGAGTTGTACCAATGTACACTCCCAGCAACAATGTTCATATGTGGAGTTTGTTCCTCCACACCCTCGACAACCCTAGATACCAGAGAACTTACACATCTTTGTCAACCTGATTGAGTGAAAAATGACATAATATTATTGTTTTAGTTTTTATTTCTTTAATCATCACTGAGGTTACGCATTTAACACACCAGATATTGATATTTCTTTTTCATGAACTGTCGATTCATGTCCTTTGCCTGCTTTCCTATCCTATCTTTTGCCCTTTTATTATCGGTTTGAATGTATGAGGGACTTGAGTGGGGAACTGCCCTCCTGGATACAGGGGAGCTGGAGGCAGAGATATGGCTCTGCTTTCTCCTTCAGATGAAATGAGCCTGGGCTGATGCTGATTTAAACATTCCCTCCAGAGGAAAAGCATAGATGGCTTGGTTAAGTTTTTCCAGATGGGTGTTACCAAGCCCCAGTATGAAAGGGTGGTGGTGTAGCCAAAATGCAGCTGAATTAGGCTGTTGTCTCATGTCTGGCGTGATTTTACTCACATGGAGAAGGTCAACAGCCTCCTAGGCTAGGAGGAAAACAAAGACCTACACAAAAGCCACACCACAATCTGACCCACAACTGCTCCAAAGAAACACATAGTTTCCATAAATATTTACATTCTTGACTAAATAAATGAGAATTTATAAGTGTAGGGGCATGTGCATTTGTATGTGTGTGTGTCTGTGTGTAATTCATCCATCAACACGTAAACCACCTGAAATCCAGCAATTTTTAAGCATGTGCAGATTGAGGAAATTAAAAGTAGCCTTTTGTCTGTCCAAAGTATAGAAAATATTTTCCCCATTTGATATTTTTACCTTTTTTTTGTTTTGGTTTTTATTTTTGATATATAGAAATTTTAACTTGTATGTTCTCATATTTATCAAATATGGCTTTCTGACTTTGTATCATGCTTAGAAAGGTCTTCCCCATTCCAAGTTTATACAAATAATTCATCTATGTTTTCTTCTTGAACTTTCATGGTTTTAAATCTTTGAGTCATCTGGCAGTAATAGATTCTTTTAGTATAAGAAATCATGGGCCGGCCCTGTGGCTTGGTGGTTAAGTGCGCGCGCTGCGATGCTGGTGGCCCGGGTTCGGATCCCGGGTGCGCATCGAGGCACCACTTCTCCGTTCATCCTGAGGCCGAGTCCCACATACAGCAACTAGAAGGATGTGCAGCTACGACACACAACTATCCACTGGGGCTTTGGGGGGAAAAATAAAAAAAAAAAAAACTTAAAAAAAAAAAAAAAAAATCATTACTCATCCAGTTCTATTTTTTTATCTATTAAATAATCCAATAATCCAATTGATTTAATAGGCCATCTTCTCACATCATAAATTTTCATATGTATGAACATATGTAGACTCTATTTTGGTCCTTTAATCTATTCCTGCATCAGAATTGTTTAAATTATAGTAGCTCTAGAATAAATTTTTTATTAATATAGATTTAAAATAATATTTCCAAGTATATCAATGTCACTTCAAGTATATAAATAACCATGCTATCATTATGCGATTTTCACAGTGGTTATTTTTTAACCAATTCACAAAATACTAACTATAATTAGATTTTTAGTTATTTAAAATAAAATTGCAAATAACTTAAGGAAGTGAATGTTGCAGTGGTTCTCGAACTCCCTTATACATCAGAATCACCTAGTGAGCTCGTTAAATACACAAATGCCTGAGTCCCACCTTCCAGGACGTCTGACTCAGCAGGTAGAGGATGAGCTGTGCTCCTCAAACACTCCCACAGTCGTTTTTATACACAGTAAAGTTCAAGGACCACTAGAATAATGTTTCCTAGGGTCATGTTTCTAATTCAAACACCTTTTAACAAAGAACAGTTCAAATAAAGACCTGCCTTTCACAAGGATAAACAAAATGCCTCAAGAAAAATTAAAACCACAACCAAATCAATTTAGCAAGGATAAATCATTTCAAACAAGTTTCTGTACAAAACAAGCAATGAACAATAGGCAGCACAACATGAAGTTCATTTTAAAATAGAAAACATTTAAAAGATACAAGACCAAAATGAAAATGATAAATAAAAAGAAAAGAACATAAAGGAAGAGAATCTCTCCAGAGAAAAGAATGACGTACATACAAAAACCTCTGAAGGCTTATGTAGTGTAGGCTGTAATACAAAGGAGCAAACTTTACTAATTAACTCTAAACCCATTGTCACATAAACAGAAAAAGAATACAGAGGAAATCTTTGTATGGTAAACTGTGGCATGAGGGAAATTGACTACGTAAATTCAAGGAGAAATACTGCATCCGACTATTCCAAGTCTGTGCTTAGTCCCTGAGCATCCAATTTGTGTGTGACATCATCCCCACAACTAGGATGCTTTCCTCTCTACTTTCTTCCTTCAAGTACAAACTTACGTTCTACTTTTCTCACAAAGCCTTCCCCTGGACACTTATAAAAGGATATGTTCCTCCCACTCCTGGCCAAACCCAAAGCAGGCAAAGGAAGAAGGGAGCTGAGTAAAGGATCTGCTCCAGAGCCACTCCCTACTCCAGCCATGGCAACAGTGACCATACAGACGTTTGGAAGGAATTCTGACCAGCAACCACATGTTCAAGATGCCATCATTCACTAGCACTTCCCGCCTAAGAGAAGGGCAGAAGACTGAAATGTGCAGAAGGCAGAGTCTAAAGGTCAAAGAGATCCGACTGCATTGGTCACCACTGTGCACAAATTCCCTTGGTTTCAAAAATCGATTCTATTTTATTTCCTTCCTTTCTAAGCTTCTTGGTCACAATTTTGTTCATGTTCAACTCAGGGTCACACAAGTAAACATAGAGAGAGACTGACATAGTATTTTTATTAAATGATCAAAGTCTTCTATTTACAAGTTTGTCAAAATTATATTTCAAAAGGGGAAACATTTCTAGAAAATTCAAAAATACTATTTGTTTTTCATTTTAAAAGTAATGCATGTTCACTAGAGAAAATCTGGCAAATATAGAAAATATAAAGAAGAAAATAAAAGCAATTTTTTTTTTTTTGTGAGGAGATCAGCCCTGTGCTAACATCTGCCAATCCTCCTCTTTTTTTTTTTTTTTTTTGCTGAGGAAGACTGGCCCTGAGCTAACATCTGTGCCCATCTTCCTCCACTTTATATGGGACGCCGCCACAGCATGGCCTGCCAAGCAGTGTGCACCCGGGATCCGAACCGGCAAACCCCAGGCCGCCACAGCGGAGCGCGTGCACTTAACTGCTTGCGCCACCGGGCCGGCCCCAAAAAGCAATTTATATACTACTACCCAGATATAGTAGTAACTATTAATACCTTCCATTCTTTTTCTAACAAAATAATTTAAAAATGTCATACCTAGCATTTCAAGGAATTTAAAACAGAACAGAGATGCTTCTGTTCAATATTGTAATGAAAGTCCTAAACAACAAGATATGTTAAAAAGTGTTAAAATGATTGAAATGAGGAGATGAAACTGTCTGTATTTGCAGATGATGATTATTTTATTTCTTAGAAAATTGAAGAGAATCTATGGATAAGATATTAAAATTTAAACAGAGTATTTAGCCAGGTTGCTAGTATCAAATCAACTTTAAAAAATTAATGCATTCCCACTCACCAGAAATAATCAAATAGAAAATACAATAGGAAAAAAAAAGGATTCCATTCATAGTTATACCTAGGAATACATCTGTGCAGAAGAGTTAACATAGCAGGTCTGAGACTGCTATTCTTAGAAAGGCCGGCTGGCAAGGTTGGCCCTTGGCTGGCATCTGAGAACTTGGCTGCTTCTCTATATTGATATAAAACTTTCCCCAAATGATAAGAGTGGCTCACTACACCTAAACTGTTTGTACAAACAATGCGGTTTATGCTGAACACCTGCTTTACTTCTTGGAGTCTGGGATTTTATGATGGGCAGAGGGTGCCTATACAACAAGCCCCTGGTAACACTCTTGTATACCAAGTTTCTAATGAGCTTCCCTGATAGGCAACGCTTCACACATGTTGTCATAACCTGTTGCCGAAAGAATTGTGTCCTGTGTGACTCCACTGCGGGAGGACTCTTGGAAGCTAGTGCCTGGTTTCCTCTGAACTTTGCCCCATGTGCCTTTTCTCTTTGCTTTGGATGTTTCTAACAAATCATCGAATCTCACGGTGGTTTTGGGGACCCCCAACAAAATATCTTTATGGAAATAATTACAAAATATTTATTGAAGGACACAAAAAGAAGACCAAAGTAAATGGAGAGTTATATCATGACTGAGAGTGGGAAGAAAGCCCCCCTCTAACATTTACATATTCAATGTAATTCCAGTCAACATACCTGCAGGCTTATTTTTTTAATGGGTCTTGAGAAGTCGATCCTAGTATCAATACGGGAGAGCAAAGGGTCAAGAATAACCAACTGCGAAGAACAGGTGGTAGAATCTGCCCAACCTGGTGTGGGAATTATTGTAAAGCCATAGTAATCAGGCAGCAGGGAGGACATCTCAACAGGGCTTTTCCTGGAATTTGACAACATGATTCTAAAATTTATAATAAGCGGAAGTCCAAAATAGCCAAGACTTTCCTGATGAAGATGAACAAACTGCCCTAGTGAAGAGTATTATAAAGCTACAGTAATTAAGATGACATAATATTGGTATAAGGATAGTCAAACAGACCAATAGAACAGAACAGAAAACCTCAAGATACATCTACTATATATAGAAAAAATTGATACTTCACATTACAGACCTTGGGAAAAGGATCAATAAATGCTCTAAGACAACTAGCTATCTCTAGGGGAAAACTAATTTAAATCTCTATCTCATACTGTTCTCTATACTTTTCTGTATGTTTGAAATATTAAAAACTTAGCTTGACTAAATGCATACATTAAAATCTCTTACTCTGTTGGTAAACCACAGGACAACAATCATAATTTTATAAATTGTTCTCCTCACTAGACCCCAAGGGACTTTGAGTTTACTTAAGAAGCATATAACCTCAACTTGACGTCAACTTTTTGAATAATATGAACCTTACCTCATAGATCCTGGCAATTCCACAAAGTAGGGTTACTTCTCCTGGAAACTTTTCTAAGCCTTGTTTGAAAAGATTTAAAGCAGTCAGAGGCTGATCCAATGAAATGTAAACCTAAAACCAAGAAACATTTCAATAAAAGTAATGGTTCTGAAAATAATACTATTTGTTACAAGTTTATAATAATTGCTTACTAACAAATTATCTCCTAGATATTACAGTAAAAATTTTTCAGAAACGTGTAGAATTAATTTTCAACAATGATGTTACAGTTTTATCTCCTTGTATTGTATATGAAGAATTCATTCATTTATTCCTTCAAAAAAATCCTCATTGTGGTCTTACCATTGTCACAGAGACTGAGCAATAACTAGACAGGAAAGGGTCAAGGGAAAATCTTTTTAGGATAGAACAGACATGAGTATGTCTATAGGCTGGCACTAAGAAATCAATCCTGAGACTGAAGTCGAAGATGCAGGAGAAAGAGGGGATGACCCATGGAACAAGGTCCGAGAAAGAGCAGCAGGAGAGAGCTTGTGGAGAGGGTGGTTTTGGAAAAGGACTCTCAGAAATAGAGGGGAAACGGACTTGTGAGGGATGGAGAATTATTTTATGATTAGAAACATAAGATTATGACATTTTTTCTTCATGATCATGGATCCTCTATTTCTTCCTAAACAGTTAGATTGTGCTTTGAAGTCAAGGCCCAAATGGATACACAGAAAACTGTTTACAGTGTTTATTGCTAAAGTATGAGATTAGAGGGAGCGATATGGATGAAAACTTTTCAATTTTTACCTTATACATTTCTAAACTGCTTTATTAAATATAATAAATAATAAAATTTAATAGACTAAGTAATATAAAATATTTAATAATTTTTAAAATTAACAATCTAACTTTTAAAGAAATGTTATTCCTAAAATCTGCTTGATCTCTATTATTTAGCAATCATTCCTTCATATATTAAAGAAAATCAGCAGATTTTACCTCTACACAGTCATGCAGGCAATAATGGATTTAAACAAATCGATTTATGGATAAATAGGTCAAACCACGTAGTTAACAATAGTTAAAATTAAAAGTACAGTTTTTTAACCATGTGGCAAGTGATTATCAACTAAGATGACAGTTAAATAGTGTGACCTGAGTTTTAATTTCAAGCTGTCAGAAAAGTTTAAAAGTCTACTATGATGCTTAGAAACTTCTTTAAGAATTTAAGTTTAATATATAATGTATAGAAGATAGACTTAGACACCAGAGAGTTTCAAACATTTTTGAAAACCACTGTAAACATACTAAGATTAGCACAGTAACTTATACAGCATAACTTTCATTTTGTTTCCTTTTAGTATGCTAACTTTTAATACCATAGTTAAGAAGTAGTAGTACTTCCTTTTCTATCTCATCTTCTTTTCAACCTTCCTTACCCCACCTTTTAATTTAAAAAATTCTTAAAGATACAGCAAGATGATGTCATAACCACCACTTCATCAAATGTTTCTTAAAGTAGCCTTGGTGAGGGTGAAGTAACTATCCTGATACTAAAAATTCTGGGAGGCCCTTCAATTCTATTGTGGCTGTAGGCGGCACTATGGGGCACAGTGAGTTAGCTCTGGAATCAGAAAGTCCTGAGTTTGAATGCTGGCTCTTAATAGCCAAGTGATCCTGAAAATCTGACTTATCCTCTTTAAGTCTGCTTTTCCTTAAGAGTACAAAGGAAAAGCTATGAGGCTTAAATTAAACTGCATATGGAACGGACCTGACACAGTACCTTACATTGAGTAGGTGCTCAATAAATGGAAATATTGTTTCTGTTATTATGGAAGAGACAAGAAATGAAGGACCTACATAAAAATAATCCCTGTTCTCTACAGTCTGCTTAGGCGGGAGACAAGTGTGTCATAAAAAAGAAGGCCTCTCTGGGGCCTATTACGCATGGGGGTGGTAGGCCTCTGGTATTTTCTTCTGCTCTAATGGGCAATCTTTCAAATGGGTTTTATTATTTTTTATGGCAATCAATTTCTCCTGAGATGGTTATCTTCTATAGGTTCTCACTTTTTCCCTTGCTCTAAAGAAAAATAAGTTAAGTCTGAACATATTAACTCGCTAAATATTCCTGAAGAAACTGGCAACTCTCTCCATGCACTGGACAGAATTAAACACTCACTCTGAGAAGACACATTTCACTCAAATTAAGAATATTTACTTACTTTTGCCAAGTAGAGAAACGTATCTACCATTTCCTGCTGCTTCAGGGCTGATTTAAACTGTTTTTCTGCTTCACGATACATTCCTAACCTAAGAACAGCCGTTAAAAGAATTAGACATTCAACTTAAAAATAAATACTACAGCATTTATTCATACCCTGAGGATATGAATAGAGACAAATTACCTCTATAAGAATAAGTATGTACCAAAGAAGGTAATGTCATACACACACATATATTAATATTAACATAAATGTTTATATAGTTTAGCAAAAAGTTGCCTGTTTCTCATATTCACTGTCTATCTAACCCTCAAATGCTGTGTAAAGCCTCTGTCAGAAGCCTAGTCACAGCAGGACTAATAGCTGCCAGTGAGCCAGGTCACACCAGGTCATCACCCAAAGAGCTTATGATCAGCTGGACATATGGCAGGCGACCTGAATAAATGCTTAGAGTCTCCATTTTCCTGGAAGAACTGAAGGGTGACATTTCTTTGAAAACACCTTCCGCTCTGAGACAAAACCCCATTTTTAAAGCTATTCTTAAACAATTTTGATGTAAGTAGTAATTGCCACTTGAGTATATAGCTATACTATTTTATTACTCTAGAAATATTTTCTTTTCTTTTTTTAATATCTGATCCTGATTGTCCTATCTACAAATTTGAGATCTGTTCCCTGCCTAACTATAACTATCCTGATGTCACCGATCTCTTCTGCCTAGGGAACATTTTGTTACCACTAAACCAATCATTAAAGCACACTTTAGCTTGTCCTTAATAAATCTGTTGGGCTTTCTCATAACTACTCATCCCTCACCATCTAAGAGCTACTTAGGCACTTTATGATAATGCTTTTATTTTGTGAAATAAAGTCAGAACAATACACAGTATGTCCCATTGTGCTACTTTCACTTAAAGGCTTGAAAGAATAGCTTGATCTTTTTTCCTAACTTAAGCGTCAAGCACTGGTGTGGCTATACCCAAACAGCTGTTGGAAGCAAGGTGATTAAAGGGGTTAAATGTCACCCAAAACAGTTGGCGCAAAGTTAGCGGGTGTGTGACATGGCAGAAACCCCCACCTCTTCAAAAGTCCCGCAACTTTTACAAGGAGTATTTATAAAATGTTATCAAAGAACTCTAAAAGTTCTGGAAAACTACATATTTACATACATGACTTCAACTGAACATGCAAGTCGTAAACACATGGCTGAAGTTCAGTCAGTGAATTCCATGATTCAGCTAATTATCATGAGAGTCTGTATATATATATATTTTTTTGGTGAGGAAGATTAGCCCTGAACTAACACCTGTTGCCAATCCTCCTCTTTTTACTGAGGAAGATTGGCCCTGGGCTATCATCCATGCCCATCTTCCTCTACTTTATATGTGGGACACCTGCCACAGCATGGCTTGATAAGCAGTGCATAGCACCACACCCGGGATCTGAACCTCTGAACCCCGGGCAGCTGAAGCGGAATGCATGAACTCAACCACTACGTCACCAGGCCGGCCCCCAAGAGTCTATATTTTTATCTAACAAGTCGTCTCTTTCCAAAAATGATTTAAAAGAGATTACAATAAAAGACACATATAAAACAAGAATATGAAAAAAGAAATAGATTTTTTTAAAAACAATGGAGATGGAAGGATAAGCAAATTAAAAAACAAACAAAAGCAATCAGAGCTATTGAGCTATCAGGAAACCAAAGAAAGGAAGGAAAGATGGGTCATGTTTTTTTATTGCTGCATCCTCAAAGGACAACTTCTAGTACTATCAAAAAGGAATTTACCACATGGGTTCTTGTGCAAAGGAAATGGAGTGGGCCATGTATAAAGAAAGTTTAGGAATAATGAAAACATCAGTTAAGGCCATGAACACAGGCCAATATCAGAGAGTCAGAGTCCAGAGACAATCCCCACCAACTGCCAACTTTTTCTCTCCAGTTTAATTCAATAACCTTTGTCAAGCACCAAGTGAATGCCCATTTCATGATGGCAAGGAGATGCGAAAATGAAGATAACAACCATGTCCTGAAGGCACCAATAAAGATTGAAACAAATCATGTTCACAAATAAATTTAATTTGTATTATGGCAATGAGACAAAAAAGGGCTTTGAGAGCACAGAGGAGGAACGAAACAAGATAGTTTCAGGGAGGAAGTGACAGGCAAGATTTTGACAGTTAGATAGGATGAGGTGGGGGTGGGGGGACATTTCAGATAGAAGAAACTATCTGCATAAGCACACAGGCAGGAAAGTACACAGCACGTTAGGGCAATGCTGAGTTGTTTTGGTTTAACTAGAAAGGAGGGCATAATAAGGAATGGGAGAAGTGAGAGATAAGGGCAAACATGTAGACTGGGACAAGATCATAGATGCCACACCTAAAATTCAGACTCCATTCTAGAGGTTAATGGAGATTAACCAAAGAATCCAACAAGAGCTGTTATTTCACAACCAGTTACTCTGACAATAGTATACAGGAAGGCTTGACGGGGCAAGAAAATGGAGAGAGAAAACCCAGATAAGAAGCTAACCTAACAACTCAAACGAATGACACTAAAAGCCAGAATTAGGGCATCTGAGTGGGAATGGGAAGTAAGGGAGCAAATGTGAGAGCTCTTGCAGAGGAAGACCCAGGAGAACTTCGTGACCAGGAGCAAAGAGACAGAAGTCAATTTGAGGCTGTATCCTCTGGTAATCCACCCTTGACCTCTCCAGTCAGAGTTAGGAGCTCTTTCTCTGGGCTCCCACTGCACCACCCGGTGCTTGCTTCTATCATAATGGGAACCATGCTTATAATCGGTTACTGTTCTCTCTCCCCCATTCAACAGTAAACTATGTGAAGGAAGGGGCTATCTAATAAATACTTGAAACCTCTCTGCCTAGCAGAGCAGCTGCTCCTAAAATAATTTACTAAGTGAGTGAATGAAGGAATGAATGCTGAATACATAAGAAAGATGAGAAGCTATTAAGGAACAGAAAAGAACAATAATTAATATGACAAGGTGCACTCATTTAAATGCCATCCAAGTTGTGCTTTTCTTTAATTATTAAAGGTTTCTGAAGGTTTTGCTTAGAAGCTCAAGATTTCCAGCTTGTCTTCAGAAATTATATTCACAAGAGTTAAATGTTATAATGGTCTAAAATTACCTTTTAGCAGAAAACACTTCCTCAATCTAACAGTAGGAAAAAATACTCGAGTTCTATGTGAAATATCTAAATGGAAAGTAGTCTTAATTTCAACAGTAGAAGAATAAGCATTCTTATTATTCCATTTATATATTTCCTTTACCTCAGTGTTTGACTGACAACTAAAGTTTATAAGTATTGAAGGACGTTCACAGTAACTGATCAACCTTGTCTTTGCATAATAAAAGACATTTATCTTTATAATTGCTCATTTATCTCTACTTTTCAAACGCTCTAAATGCATTTCAATATTAGGCAACAATTTTCAGGTCTTATTTACTAATTGCTGTATAATATTCATAAAATTAATCACAACTCTTCTGATCTCTCAATTACTTTGCTTAAAAATGTGTTTAGGGGCCAGCCGGGTGGCATAGTGGTTAAGTTCACGCGCTCCGCTTCAGCGGCCCGGGGCTCACGGGTTCAGATCCCAGGTGTGGGCCTATGCACTGCTTATCAAGCCATGCTATACCAGGCATCCCACATATAAAGTAGAGGAAGATGGGCACGGATGTTAGCCCAGGGCCAATCCTCCTCTGCAAAAAGAAGAGGATCAGCAACAAATGTTAGCTCAGGGCTAATCTTCCTCACATACACACAAAAAAATGTGTTTAAAAATTAAGTGAATTAATATAAGAATATTTGGATCCTAGAGAAACACTATGGAATTGTGCAAATAGTAAGAGAACTGGCATCACAAAGCTGAGCTCAAATTCTTGTTCTGCCACTTAACTACCTATATGAATCTGGACAAGTCATTTTATTTTTCTGAGGCTCAATCTTTCTCATCAGGACAAAGGGCTAATAATAGCAACTACCTCCAAGGTGCTGCAAGATTTAAGTGAGATAACGTAACATATAGACAAGCTATCTCTTATCTAAAAGCACTTTACAGATGTGAGGCATCAGTGGAAATAAAAAAGACTTGAGAGCCAAGAGGAGTGGAGTGGGAATCAACAGACTTAATTCTAGTCCCAGGTCTGTGACTAACTAGTTCCTGACGCAAATCACATCCACTCTCTGGCCTCAGCTTCCTCATCAGAAAAGGGGTCTCGGACCTGATGGTCTCAAAGTTTCCCCTTCCCAGTTCCAAACTTTTATTATTTTAAAGGTGTCAGTTCTTAGTGCTACCAGGTGATTGCTAAGTAAATGCTTTCTCAAGTAAACCAAAGACACGGTTCTCATTTCTTCATGAGGAAATCTATCCAAAAAAAAAAAAAGTTATCAGATTTGAGACTCTAAAATATGTTGCCACTTCCTAGCCCTTCACAAATAATCAAAATTTTACCTGTAGTAACATTTTCCAATCTGTACTTTCCACCACCAGTCCTTATACTGAGCATGCTCTGTAGAAAGGGCAGCCAAATCCAAAGCCTTTGAAAACAAGTCATTTTAGATTAGGATTTTCTTTTCTAACAATAAACAGAAACAATAAATAATGAAATAAACCATACAATTAGCATCAATCAAAACATGCATTAGAAATCAGACAGAAAATCAAGTTGCTCATATTTCCAGATGGCCCCACCAATTTTCTCTAAATAATCAGTTCCAGACCAGAGGGCTGACAGCAGATGAGAAGTAAACACTGATCAAAGGGAAGCAGATGTACAATATATTTGAATACAATTTTAATATACAAGGTACAAAATTGTTATTAAAAAATCCATAAGTTTTTACCCTCTCCCCACCAAAATGCCTCCAAACTTAGTGGCAGTCAAGCCCTTGGTGTGTGAGTCAGGTCCAACTGCAGGCCCCACTTTAAAGACGGATGTAGAGAAAGAGGAAAAGATCAAGAATGCAGATAGAAAAAGGTCTGGAAAACAGGATCATGAAGAGTGAAAGGAGTTGAAGTACTAGGGTAAATGTCATCTTCAACAACCATCATGCCATTATTCTGATATCACTTTATATTCCAGTAATTCTAAGGGTCAGACTTTCCTTTGCAGCAGACTGAAAAAGATTTTCTTAACTGCTGTCATATTTTACATGTGTTTATCCCTTTCTCTCTAACGTCTTCTAGTTTGTTCTATTATTTATTCACGATCAGACAAGAGATGACTAAACAGGAAGTAGATTTTTTACAGAGGAAGTGGAAATCATCTGGACAAAGAGGAAAGCAAGTCAATCTTTACACAAATTTGAAGCTCACAGAAATTTGAAGCTCATGTAAAGACTTGATGAATAAAAACTCAGGTTTTTAGTTAAAAAAGAATTCTGATTTTTTATGATATTTACTGTTCTTTCTCTCAAGGTTGAAAAACTTATTCTTTGGCCAGTGTTCATATAATCATATCCAACAGCTCAGTTAAAGTAACTCTTAGATTTTCAGTTCTATTATCTCAGAATGCAACCCATATTATTGTCCATTTCTTACTATTAACTCTTTTCTGAAATGAATGCTGGAAGAGTTCCTTGAATCTCCTACTGAAAAATTAATCACTTTTCCTTGTGCTCCCCATCTTCCCTTGCTCCGGGGGAGACTTGTAAATATGCAAACTCTTTATGAAAGAACGGTGTGGTGTCACCATGCTGAGGTTCTAACGGACTTGAAAAATCAACATCTCTACTTGAAAACTACAGACATTAAAAACAAGCCACATACCACTTTCATATGCTTATTTTTCTCTTTTTCCCCAAGGCAGAAATAAAAATGGGAGCAAAAAATGAAGGAAAATAGTATAACTTCAATAAGCATTATCTCTGGAAATACTACAAAAACCTATTTTCAATCAGCTCAATTCAGGAGTGCACTGTATATATCTGAACGTAATTTTAACTTAATCTCTATAAAGACCTTTTCTAGCAAATAGATCATATTCATTCTCATGTTTAATATAACAGACCTTCTATTTTTCAGAAAAAAATGTTCTAAATGTTTTTACATAGTCTAATTTTCCCAGGTTAGATTTAGTGCTGCTGATTTTCCTTTCAGAGATGGTCCTGAACAAGTCTTCCTATGTAGGACCCATATGTTTGTACTAAACCAATTAAGAAAATTAATACGAATTATTGATGTAGATAAAAATGGTTAAAAAATTACATTTTAATGATCATTCTTCATATGAAGACTGAGGCTGCACTAGACAACCATTTGTGACCATTTCAAACAGACCCTAAGTTCCCTGAGGTCAGGCATCCCTTCTTACACATCACTGTTGTTCTGGTATTTTGCTGTGCTGTTAAGATGCACTCAAGAATTATTTGTTGATTGAATTAATTCTATTCTTTGTTTCTGATTTATGTTGAAAATAACCTAAGAACCAAACAAAACTGTCATAGTAATAAGATTCATAATTAAAAGCTATTAATATTTAAAAATTTTAAAGAGGTGACAAAAGATCTGTTTCTTTCAAGTCTTTCCCAATGTTCTAAAATAAATGACTATATACTTATATTTAAGGATTTTTGAATAATTTAATCAATTTGATATCTAGATATTAATAAAGGCCTAGAATGTCATAAATAAAAGGCCTAAGTTGATACAAGTCCATAAGTAGAGGGGACTTGGAAGATCTAGACAACAGAATGTTTGTGAATATGTCCAACTGGGCATCTCAATGTATTTCCTAAGTAATAGTGCTCCAACCACTGAAGTTAAAAAAAAAACAGTCATCCTTTCAATTGTTACAGTTGTGACAACTTCAGGATGATGAAATTAAAGACCATATGGAAATAAAGATTCCCACAATCACCAACCCACACACCACTTTAGTTTTGTCAATACTGCCAATATTGCCCCCAAAAGGGAGTGTGTGGGGAGGGGGTGGTTATTAAGAACTCAAAGGCAGAAATACAGTTTTCCATAGATCAACTTTACTTTTTCTTAACAATTAAATACCACTTCATAGTATTCTCTATACTTATCTACAGCATCCTCCATACTTGTCTGTAGACAAATACAGAACCACCACCAACCCACATGCCATTTTAGTTCTGTCAATCTTGCCCTCCCACAAATAGAAAAAATTTTAAGAACTCAAAGACAGAAATAGAGTTTTCCATGGAAAATCAATTTATTCTTTCTTAACATTTAAATTCTACTTCACAGTATCCTCTACATTTGTCTATAATATTCTCTGTATTTGGACAAAATAGTTTATTTACAAAGAAACTTGGAAGCCACCCAAAGTAACTAGTATAAAAGCATATCTGATTTCTTCAGTATGTTAAAAAACAGAATTCCTCTTTTCTTTTTCCAGCTAAAGTTGCAACACATACAAAAGGTATAGAAATACATGCTTTGTGGGGCCTGCCCAGTGGCATAGCGGTTAAGTTCACACACTCTGCTTTGGCAGCCTGGGATTCACAGGTTCGGATCCCAGGCACAGACCTACATGCCATCATCAAGCCATGCTGTGGCAGTGTCCCACACAAAAAATAGAGGAAGATTGGAATGGATGTTAGCTCAGCAACAATCTTCCTCAAGCAATATGAGGAAGATTGGCAACAGATGTTAGCTAAGGGCCAATCTTCCTCATCAAAAAAAAAAAAGAACATGCTCATTATCTAAATCCTTCTTCCATTCAGAAAATAACATTTGTGGTAAATCTAAAATGACATTTTAATGGAACAATCTGATCCATAACAGAACTATAATGTGGCAAGCCTTAACAGAGTAAGAAAACAGACACAAGGCATCCTTCCTACCCAGGACTCCCAGCACCCATCATAGTACCAATATGCAGGCACTCAATAATTATTTGTTTAAAGAATAACTCAATCAATCAACTAATGAATAAAAAGGAAAACGGAGGAACCAACAATTTGTCCTTTTCACTAAATAAAAACAAAACAAATTGCTTAATTTTGTGTTCTATGTATTGGGGGTAAGCAGATGAAAATAACAAGCAGGTACAATAACAAGCATCTTAATTTATTATTGACCCTAATTTACAGCTAAATTTATAAATGAGAAGTTGCCATAATATTATTGAAAATTTGGGGGAAAAAACGTAAAATTAGATAATCTCCATTAGTACCATGGATTATAGCTTCTCAATTTATTGTTGTAATCCAAGCTGCCAGCACAATGTAGGCATTAAATAAATATTTGTAAAATAAATACAACTCTATCTCGTAATATTATTATTTTCATTTTTCGGTAATACTTTCTAGTATCTGTCATAAATATACCTTTTTAGAGTTATAATTCTATTAACATACTAAATGGTATACTTTGTTGGCTAAACATAAACACTTCATATTTCTGCCTAGTTTTTATAATTATGATTTTTAATGGCTACATAAAATTCCATCATGCAATTTACTATAATTTACTAAACTCATCTTCCATCATCGAACATTGAAGTTGTTTTTCAAGTTTATTTGCTACTCCAACTAATGCTACAATAAATACCTTTGCAAATACAGCACTTTATTTTTTCACAAAATTTCCTGAGAAGTGAAATTACAGAAACAAATTAAATAAACATCTTTATAGCTACCTGCTATATATTATCATATTGTTTTCCAAATTATTATACCATTTCAAATATCATCTATAATATATGAGTATAACAATTTACTCCATTCTCCCCCAGTATTATTTTTCAAATTTCCTAAATTTAAAATTGCAGATCCAAAATTTCTTTAATTTACATTTTTGTTGTTAGTGAGAAAGTGCATCTCTAATGTGCTTGTTTACTGGCATTTTCTCTAATGTAAACTGCCTGTTATTTGGGTCATTTCTATTTCCATAAAATATTTTTTAACAAATTGAGATAAGCTTTTTATATTTGACAAACACTAAAATTTTTAAATCATGCTTGATGTACATATTTCACCCTTCTATTGTCCTTTCACTTTTGGTTTTATTTGGGTTCACTATAGTATAGAGATATACATAAATCAGTAAGTTTTTTTCCTTTGTATTTGCTTCATAAATCCAAGCAAATTTTTTAAATATTCTATTGTTTGCTAGTTTAATCCAAGCAAATTTTTGGAACATTCTATTGTTTTCTAGTTTAAATTTGTAAAATTCTTCATTGAACTAATGTCTAAAAGAAACTCTTTAAACAAATTTTCATAATAGTATTGTTTAACAGAGTATAAGCACCTATTTCAAAAAGAGCCAAAAATTGTGCTCAATGTTGTTTGTTCCTAGCGTATTAAGACTCTTTCACTGTTCCTAAGAATAAAAATATAAAATTTATAAATGGGCTTTCCAGTTCTCAACAGTATTTTGTATCACTTCCTCGTTACTGAGATATATTTGAGAGTCATTTTTGTTGTGCGTTTTAACTTGTTGCTTTCTTTCATTGAGCCAGGAGACACACCTCCTCTTGTGTGTTAGTTTGTTAGAGGGAGACTTCAAGTCTTGTTAATGCTCCCCAGCTCTATTTTCCTACATTAGAAGGCCTGGCACTACAGCCTTCTAATAATCATTGATTTTCAAACTATATTCTATAGCAGTTGTTCCCAATCTTGGCTGAAAATTAGCATTACCTGTGCAGCTTTTATTAAAAACAGATTTACCAGACATATCGCTGGGGATTCTGGATTCAGGAAGCCTATCATAAATCCAGAAATCCATTATTTTAAATTCCCCAGGTAATTCAGAAACAGTCTGATTTAGGAACTACCCAACGGTCCCAGGATTTGAGCGGCAGGAGCACATGGGGTGGGAGGAGCAAGGAGGAGGCCCAGTGGGTGTGTTCTTAATCTATTACTTCTGCTTTAATTCAAGCAGCTTCACTTTTGTCTGTTTTATATATTAGGGTCTGAATAAGATTTCATTTAAAGAAAAAGGCTTTGCTGCTTAAATAAAATGCAGAGACTAAATCCTATTTTTTTCTATGTATGTCCTATTCCTCAACAACATTATGTAAATGCCAAGATGCAGAGCGACATCCTCAAAATGAATCTATTAATAAAGACATCATCACCACGACCTACCAACAGCATATGATCTGTCTACTTTCTGAACCCATCGTCTACAACTCTTCCCCCTCACAGATCTCACTCCAGACACACTGGACTCCTTACTGTTCCTTAAACAATCCAAGCAGGCTACTACTCAGGGCCTTTGCAGTTCAAGTTCTCTCTGACTTACATGCTCTTCCTACACCTAACTACGTGGCTTGTCCCCCTTCATTCAGGTCTCTGTTTAAATGTCTTTTCAGAGTGGACTTCACTGACCGCCTACCACCCCGTCCAACATAGCATCTTCCCCCACGTCATTATCTACTCCCTTATCTGCTTTCCTGCTTTTCTGCTTTCTTAGTACTTACTATCCCATGACATGTTATACATTTTTAAATTTGCTAATTATCTCTATCACTTGCTCAACCAGAAAATAATCTCCAAAAGAGCAGAGATTTTGTCTGCATGCTTCATTTCGTAATCTCAGGGCCTACACCAGTGCCTAGCACACTGTAGCGGCTCAAAAAATTCTGGATGAGAGAATAAACGTCTCCTCAATAAATGAATTAATCTTCAAAAAGTCAAGATATAGTTTTACAATATGCTAGCAATTAGAGAGATTTACTCACTTATGAAATGGAATGGTATTTGGATGTTTCTTTTTAATGACAGTATGACTATATGATTTTACACAGCACACTGAAAGCCTCTGACCAGCTTTATATTCAGTGAAAACGGCATGTACTGACTGCTCTTTACAGAAATGCACACGATTTCCTCTTTTCCCTACATGGCCACATGCACTAACACTTCATCATAGATAACTCTCATATTCTGTACATCTGGCCCAGGCTCTCACCTACATTTTAGTGCCAATCTTCTAATACATGCGATGGTACCTCTACCTGGATAGCCTTTCACAATTTTGAACTCAAAACGTTCTAGGGGGTCGGCCTGGTGGTGTAGTGGTTAAGTTCGCGTGCTCCACTTTGGCAGCCTGGGGTTCGCAGGTTCAAATCCCAGGTGCAGACTGACACACCACTCATCAAGCCAGGATGTGGCGGCATCTCAGGTACAAAATGGAAGATGGGCACAGGTGTTAGCTCAGAGCCAATCTTCCTCAGCAGAAAGAGGAAAGTTGGCAACAGATGTTAGCCACCCAAAAAAAAAAAAAAAGGCCTTCAAATTAACTATTCAGCTTCTTTACAAACTGACTTCCATCCCTAATTATCCTATTTCTGTTAGTAAAACATAGAACAACCATTCTTCTCACAGCATCTTTAGAAAGCAGATTGACCTGTGTTTTTCCTTTGTCCTACATATCAAATCTATCAGCAGGTTCTCTCACTTCTTTCTTTAAAATACCTCTTTGATGCTCCCGTTTTTAAGGATATGGCCTATTTATTTCTCATTCCATACCCTGTTCATGTTTTTACCCTTTATTTACATTTATTTTCCCTCCTTTCCAAAATATCCTACTTATTTTATGGATCTTCTCTACTATTACCCCTTCTGATTTTTTCCCTTTGCTATGTAGTAACAATTTCACAGTTTGGCTGTTATCTTTTAATTGTTTCATTATGTCAATTTTGTTTCCTCAGCTAGATTGCATGATTTGTAGAGATAGGAAAAAATATCATATTTTTATTAGTTTTTCTAGTACACAGCATAGTGGTTGACACACAGAAAACACAACTGAGGAAAACATATGTGTTTTCCTGAATACTTAACACATGGATATAAAAATTTTTCCCTGAACTAATAAAAAAAATGGGGGAAAATACTATCACTAGACACTGCAGAATTAACTACATTCAATTTGACAAAATTTGTCAAGTTATTGCTCATTTGCATATTAGCATGTAAAAACTGAAACAAATGGAGAAGTCATATGCATATAATCTTAAAATTCTCTGTTGAGAGGCTACCAAGATGACTGATGACTGTTGGAGCTGAAGCTGGGTGACGGGTGATATGGGCTCATTATACTATTCTCTCTACTTTTCTATGTTTGAAATTTTCTATCATCAAATGTCAAAGGGGGGAGAGAGGGCACACGGCAAAGAAACCAGAAATACGTGTATTAGTAAATCTATAATACACTATATGGACTAAAGAAAAAAACAGATCAACAACGCTAACTATGAGTATAAAAAATAAACTCTAACACAAACACGTTATGCAGTATTCTCAATTATCTCTATCTTGTCCTTTAATAGAGATCTTCGTAGTCTACGAACCAGGCACAGTTCTTACTTCTATATTTACACAAATTTTCCTACTAAAACTGACAGCGGATTTCAAAGTATTAGTAATTCTCCAATCTTGAATAATTTCATCTGTTTATAGGGTGAGAAATAGAACACTTCAGAATTTAAATCACCAAAGTCAGAAAAATGACAATAAAAGAAAATAGCATGAATTCAAAACTTACAGTCTTAACATCATTTTCATGATGAAAGATATATTCAAACAAAGCCTATGAAGAAAAAAATGCCAAAAATACATTAGATTTTATTTTAACAAAAGCACTCTATTGTTATATCAAAACTCAAAGGCCATTTTGACAGCAGCTGGATTGAACCAAAACAACAAGGTACTCTACAGTGTCTGGGATTTATAAATAAAGGGTCTATCCATCATTTATTATAATCACCCATTTTAAAATATGGCTATTTCCTGTTTTTAGAGAATACAAACTGGAAAGCTCAAATAATGGAACAATTTTTTTCATATTATACACACTAGTTTATTAGAAAGAGACAAATGAAAAGACCAACTTTAAGACTGCTGTAAAACAGATTCGGCCCATTTTTTGCACACTCTACATATATTATTCAGTGATTATGATATTAATAATGACACCTTAGACATGAGAAAATGTGGAAGTTCCTTCTGAAACAAAGTAGAGTTTAAGTGTAAAGTGGGGTATTTTTTGCTTAACGTGCAGATGACTCTAAAGTGCAGCCAGGGTTGAGAACAACTTACTTTAATATTTCACTCAACTCATCTGGATAAGTAAGCATTTACTGGATTACCTTTTGGTGGTACTACGTTTGTCCATAATACCACTATTTTATACTTGAAAAGAGGCTAGTGCCCCCGGAAGGTATCAACATTATTAACAGAAAAGACTTGGAGAAAACCAAGAAAAGACTAAAGAAATCAGGACAAGGCCCTTCTTTCAAAACTACAGCAAACTCTCCATTTGTTCTGTTACAAAGAAAAAAAATTAGGAGTGCAGTTGATGCTACTGTTGTCATAAAAAGAATGTTACAACACCCAAGACAGTGTCAGGGAGTCACCACAGACACCCCAAGCAATATGCCAATATTAGAAATGAGTCCTGATGAGTCAATGCGAGTTGGGGACCAAAGACAGAAAAATCTGGCATTATTGCTACAACACACCAAAAAAGCACAAAATCTAGTTCAGTCTACATCTAGTAATATAGACCAGGTCTGTCCTGGAAGTATCTTAATTTAATTGAGGAAAATGCCTCCATTGACTACACTCTGGTTAGAAAACAGCAATGGTATCAACTAGCCATCCAATCACCTCAAGTAAATGGCCTAAAAAGGCAGGTAACCAGATATTCCAAATGAGCTGTTTTTAATACTTCACTATCATAAAGGAAAAGGAAATAAGTAAAGCTTTATGATTCTGCTAAATCAAGTTGACTAGATTGCTGTCATATAAGAAATTTAAAAAAAAAAAAAAAGACATCTTAAGCATTATTACAGTCTGATTCCCTGTCTACCAACAGGCCTTTCTTTTTCTGATTTAAACTTCAAGTTTGTATGGCTAGTGTCCATTTTTATTTTCCCTAGAGTGTTTGATATTTAGTAAATATGCTAAACGCCATTAGAACTGAGATTAGGAATGAGTTCAGCACTCACGCACAGAATTCACAGAGATTACAACTAAAGACCTAAGCTGAGCTTAAACTAGTTTCCAGAAGATAAGTGCTCCTGGTTCTGAATTATTGCACACTCACCTAGTTTTTTATACTTGAAAGGTCATGGAAACCCTCCTCTCTCTCTCTCCCTCCCTCCCTCCCTCCC